CTGTATCCCGGCCTGAAGCCCGACTGGAGCGGGTCCAGATAGACTGTTTCCTCCAGGTGTCGAGGGAACTGCTGCGCAACCACACTCTCAACAACCTTCGCCACAAAGCGAAGGTTGGAGACCGGGCGATAATTAGCCAATACATCTGGGTCCAGGGAGGGCTTCTTAAGGAGGGGCCTCACCACCGCCTCCTTTAAGGTGCTGGTGGTCAGGCCTTGGGGCAAGGATGGGTGCTCACCCGATCATACTACGCTCTGGTGTTAAACCCAGGCTATCAGCTTTCCAACTGACAAGCTCAGCGTCTTTAACTGCTGAGCCATCTTGCCCCCTTTATACATCATACTAAGCCATAATGTGATTTGATTTTGGTTTAATATTAAACCCATCCATTGTAATTTGCAAACACTGCTTTATAGCTTAGCATGTGATACAACATTTATTCAGCAAACTGTAGTTAAACAAGCCTGATCTGGTTTGCTGATAGCATACCATGTAGTGTCAACCTGGCTATTTTATTTTTAAATCATGGTTTATGACTTAATGTACAATATTGTGCAATGCCAGTTTATTTAAATAAAATGTGATGTGTGAAATCAAACAATATATACAAAATACTTTCAAGGCTCTCTATGAATGCTAATATTATGATATCTTGTTGAAGGAAATGGTGCAGTAAATTTTAAACAAAGAACAGAACAGAACAGAACAGAATAGAATAGAACTGGAAGGGACCTTAGAGGTCTTCTAATCCAGCCCCTTGCTCAAGCAGGAGGACCTGTCCTATACCATCTCAGGCAGGTGATTGTCCAATCTCTTTTTTAAAACTTCCAGCAATGGAGCACCCACAATTTCTGGAGGTAAGCTGTTCCACTGGTTGATTGTCATCACTGTCAGGAAGTTTCTCCTTAATTCCAGGTTGCTTCTCTCTTTGATCAGCTTCCAACCATTGTTCCTTGTCCTTCCCTTTGGTGCTCTGATGAACAACCTTACCCCCTCTTCTTTGTGGCAGCCCCTCAGATACTGGAATACTGCTATCATGTCTCCTCTATTTCTTCTTTTCTTTAAACTGGCCGAATCCAAGTTCCGCAGCCATTCTTCATACGTTTTGGTCTCCAGGCCTTTGATCATCTTAGTTGTTCTTCTCTGAATTTTTTCCTGACTCTCAACATCTTTTTTGTGACCAAAATTGGCTGCAGTATTCGAGGTACGGTCTTATTAGGGCTTTATAAAGTGGTACTAGTACTTTGTGTGATCTTGATTCTATGCCTCTGTTTATACAGCCCAGGATTGTATTAGCTTTTTTGGTTGATGCTGCACACTGCTGGCTCATAGTTAAGTGATTGTCCACCAGGACTCCAAGGTCCTTCTCACAGTTGCTACCTCCAAGCCAGGTCTTGCCCAATCTGTATTTGTTCTTTTGGTTTTTCCTGCCTAAGTGTAAGACTTTGCTTTTCTCCACATTGAAACTCATTTTGTTGGATAGGGCCCATTGTTTGAGTTTGTCAAGATCTTTTTGGATCCTGAGTTTGTCTTCTGCGGTGTTGGCTACTCCTGTCAGTTTGGTGTCATGTGCGAATTTGATGAGTTCCCCTTCAATTCCCTCATCTAAATCCTTTATGAAGATATTGAAGAGTATTGGGCTAAGAAAACTAAGGGAAAATATAAAGACATACATTTCCTTTAATTTAGTTCTGTGGGTTTACAATAAATTCTTCTTAAATTAAAAATGCCTTTGAAAACAAAATCACCTAATCCCATTTTTAAAGTTTTTTAGTGCCTTCATGTCAGTACTTGCCTGAACTATCCTGCAGTTTTCTTGGCAAAATTTCAGATGTGGCTTGCCATTGCCTCCATCCTAGGGCTGAGAGGGAGCGACTGGCTTAAAAACATCTGACTATTTTGTGCCTGATAGTCTCCCTATTTCTAGTCTGGTACTTTATACCTTATTCCAAACTGAGTAATCCCATAGCAATACAGCTACCGTAACTCTGCTTTGAAAATCCAGACAACCACTAGATGGCAAAATGATATTTTAGTTGGATTAATCACACGGCTGTCTGTGGAAGTCAGGCTTCATATCTGTCCAGAAGTCAAAATAACCATGCAGGGCAGTGGCCTTCAAATAGAGGGGACAGGGTGTGATTATTGTATCCAATAGGAGCTGGGCAGACCCCTGCTTCTGACTCATTTTCTTCAGTCATGCTGTCTGGACACTAAATGTCATCCATGAAATAAGACTTATGTCAGGAGAAGGTGGAAACTATCTTTCCATCTAAATCAGCTAAATATGAAGCTCTCCAGCCTCAGATACGGGTTGGGAATGAGAGGAGGACAGAACTACGAGCATAAGCTCTTAAAATATGTTTAGCAAACTATCTTCCAGCTACAGTTAGCGGGACATGTACATGAGTTAAAAGATCTTATTTGTATAGGTCCCTGTCTATCATTTCCTGGTAATCTCTCAGTCTCAAGAGTCTCATGAGGTAGCAGGCCCTTCCTAAAGAATGTGGATGAAGACACAACTTCTAAAATCGTGATTTGGGGCACATTTAGTATGACTAGAGCACTGGTACATTTTGACTGTGCTAAAACAGACTTAAATATGATGGAGAAACAAAGCTGCAATCTCTGGGTTTATTTGGGATGTTTCTGATGCTGAAGAGAATGTAAGTGCGTAGAGCGAACCAATGTTTAGATACCACCTGAGCAAAGAGCCCCACTTTTAAGCGTCCCTTCTCCTGTCTGTGGCACCATTAAGAGGTTGGGTTTTGAAGACAGTGCCAAGCAGAATCTGTACAGGAGGCTCTTCCATATATGAGGGACTGTGGTGGTAGCACATTTCCAAAATGCAGCTGTGGACATAGAACAGGGGTCTTCAAACTTGGCCCTTTTATGACGTGTGGACTTCAACTCCCAGAATTCCTCAGCCAGCGTGCCTCACGCTGGCTGAGGAATTCTGGGAGCTGAAGTCCACACGTCATAAAAGGGCCAAGTTTGAAGACCCCTGAAGTCCACACGTCATAAAAGGGCCAAGTTTGAAGCGACTAGGAGGGTGCCTGGGGTAAATCGGGGATAATGAAAACCACGCCACCAAAATGGAAGAGAAGCAGGACACCTTAGAAATGCCCCTGTTATACAAAGCATGGAAGTCTCTTTGACTTCTGAATCTCCTTCTCCATTCTCCTTTCTCCTCAGCGTGCGATTAAATTGAATCAGATTTGCTCTGCAACCGCCAGCAAAAGAAGAACATCTACACAACCAGTTTTGTGCTGCATAGTTTATTTATTTCTTTTGTAGGACCAGTACGTGTTGGGGCATAGGGCTAGGAGTATTCATTCTCTCTCCATGTCCTCTCTCTCTCTCCATTCATTCACAATGACAGACTGTTCTCTGCTGGCTCTCTCTCTCTCTCTCTCTCTCCCTCTCCGTCACCTGATCACCTGCCAGTTCCTTCTCTTCTCCACAATCTTTTGCAGGCCTTTCAGCAGTCCCCGTGGGACGGATTTGGCATGTGGCAAGGGATCATGCTCCAGGCAGGTAAGCTTGCATGTGTGGGTGCATTGCTCCTGGCATCTTGCTCCTCTCCCTGGCGGCCATGATATCCAACCTCCCAAATTAGGAGCTTCACTTCACAGCAGGCATGGAGGAGGGCTTGTCCCCTTCTAGGCCCAAGTCTTCTCCTCTCAGAGGCCTCTCTCACTTTCTCCTTTAGAGATCCTAATTCTCCTAGCACTCTAGCCTACACTTGTAGGAAAAAAACCCCAAGACAGGAAGGGGGAAACCTTGTCCAAAAAGAGCTTCAGTGGCATAGCAAACGGGACAGACAATCACTGAGCTTAGAGATGCAAGCATCACCCATCCGCCCGCCCACAAGCAAGGAGTCCTGCTCCCTGAGGGTAGGGGCAACTCTGTGGCTTTGGTCCCGGAGGCGAGACTGGGCAGGTGACTCAGCCTCATTCTCTGGGCTATGCTCACACATCCCCCCCCACCCCTTTCCTCTGTCTGTGCAGGGCCTGCAGGTAGCTCTCATTACTGCTGCAGCAGAAGGACCCAGAAGGGGCAGGGACCCACACTCAGGTTGGGAGTGTAACTACACATGGCTATCAGAGCACACGTATGTGACTCCGGGCACGTGTCACCATGTAATGGCAGATGAGAGTTTTCTTTTCAGGCAACAGTCAGACCCCATACAGGGGCAGGAAGCCTCACCTCTAACACATGCATGCATGTACCACACACACACACACACACACACACACACACACACAGAGCTGCAACTCTCTTTCTGCCCTCCTCCCGCCCAAGGGCAGGAAAAGAATAGAACGAAAAAGGAAAGGAAAGGGAGTGCAGAAAGGGAGCCGAAGGAGAGAGGCTTTGGGCAACACAGAAGGCTTCTTGTACATTCAGTTGAGCGGGTGAGGTTGTCCAGTGGTGCTCTTACAAAAGGGGGGTGTGGGAACTGGCATCCCCTGATTTTTGCACATGAGAAGGAGAGGGTTGAGATGGGCCAAGTGGCTCTGGGAGTTACAAGACCTACAGCATTTCATGCTGTTGCTGCATGGCTTCGCTGACCACCTGAGGAAAGACAGAGATTTCAGTTAGGGAAAGCTCTACTCCCACCCTCCTGGGCCTTCTCCCCAATCAGGTGGGGCACCTTTGCTTGTTCCCACCATTGGCTTCCCTATTTATAGGGACAGAAGAAAAAGGAAGACAACTGCATCCAACCGTGTTCCTTCAGAAGCATCTCCCATTCCTTATCCTCAGTCTCACATCAACAGGGTGAGCGGTTCTCAACTTAGAATGTTCCCCCTGCTCCATAATAGGACGGAATGACACACTCAAGACTACCTTTATTGACTTTTCCTGGGGTTTTCTATTGGGGTTGCTAACCCTTCTGATGTTCATCAACGCCCACAGCCTGTCAGCTTACCTCCCCATCACGTGTCTCGATGGTTTTGATGGTCACTGTTTTTTTGGTATGGACCTCAGCGCTCCTCTGCTCTGGGCTGGTCTCTGTGGGACAGAAAGAGGCATTGGTTGATAATGGGTGCACTCTGGCATGCATTTCATGGGAGAATCCCATGAAGAATTTGGAGTCCAGAGAATTTGGAGGGTGGGCTCTGTGGTTAGGGATGTTTTCTTCCAAGCACAAGCTCACTGTTCTCCATGACTTGCTCACACCAAGACTTAAGAGGAGATGGGTACCATGTTCACTTCATGTCCCTGACACACATACACACACACCCCACACCAGCTCTTGCCAACCTAACCGAACAGTGTATATAATCCAATAAATATTTATGCCAAAACAAAACAATCTTCCAAGCTGTTATTCAGTTCTACTAAATTTGGCCACAGCATCAAGGCAGATCTTGAATTCAGAACTAGAATTACCACAGCTATGATATTTCGGCTTGATTGCCCTTATCTTTTAGCCTTTATAAGACTCTTTTTGGAGACAAGGGAGAGTTTATTCTTGTTTTGATGCAATGCCGAGAAACTAATAGCTATCCTGTTTGGTTTTGTTAGCGGTATGTATGTTTGTGGTATTCATCATGCTTCATTTCTTAATACAGTCATCTTTGTTTATGGTGTCTCACCCAAGAAACATGTCAGAAAGAAACTTAAGAGGAGAGATGGACTCATTCAGCTCATTTATACATTTCTGGATAGAACTATATATTATTATGCCTGGTACCAACCCCCATCCCCAAAGAACCAACTGTAGAGAAAAGCAGCTTTAGGTGAGACTGGTTTGGAGGGGAAGGTAGGCTGGGATGTATAATCCTTTCTTTGTCTGAGTGTTTTGTTCTGAACCTGACCCTCCTCCTTGCAGAGTTGAGGGGTTTCAGATACATTTGTCCTTGCAGGCCCATTTCAGGAACTCCAGTTAGAATTAGAGAGGCAGAGAGGGAGAGTTATAGTTGCAGAGAGTGGCTCTGTGAGTGGTTTCTAAGTTTGATAAATATATATAAATAAATATAGGGAAGGGTGCTATTTTTAACTGAAAAGCAATCTCTTTCTCCCCTGCCTCTAAATGCCATCCTTTAAAACCAAAAAAGGGTTTAGTCGGGAATAAGCAGAACAGATTATGATAGGCATGAAACACGTAATTCCATCCTCGTTTCAATCACTGTTCTAAAATGAATCTTGGGGATGGGCTTTCTTCCGTTTCTGCTCCGTTTTTAGCATGACAAAACAACCCACGTGATTTGCATGCCCATAGATCCCTTTAACCACATAGACCAGGTCCATGTCACTTACCTCGGAAGTTGATGGCAGAAAAAGTTTGAATGGGCAGTGAAATTCTGTAAGGAAGGGAAAGGAAAGGGAGATTAAAGTAGCCTTGTCTTTCTTTTCTGTTTTCAGATTTCCTATGTTCTACAGCAGCCTCCCCAACAACCCTCATTATCCCTTATGGTCCTTTTAGGAAAAAAACCCAACACTTAAATCTGAACGAATTGCATTTTTCTGGCTTGCATACCGAAGTGTTGTTTCCAGTCTTCTTGTTGTAATTCTAAAATGGCATCTTCATGCAAATTCAGCATTATTACAAAATGTAAGTCCCACTACTGCAGGGGTAGGCAACCTTGGCTCTTTTATGACTCGTGAACTTCAACTCCCAGAATTCCTGCTGGCTCAGGAATTCTGGGAGTTGAAGTCCACGAGTCATAAAAGAGCCAAGGTTGCCTACCCCTGGACTAATCCAAACTGCTCAGCCAAAAGGAAAAGTAACATTTGGCTTCAAGAGATTCACTGGTCTATTTCTTTCCTAAGAGAAGATGAATGTCATCAACCATCACAGCAGAACGATGCATTTCCTTCTTTGTTATCCTTTGCTGTCACCAAGCACAAAGGCAGAGTTCAGATACTGTGATAAGCCACGTCTCTTTTACTCAGTCCAGAATTGTGGTAGATTCTTGTGTAGCAGTAATACACTAACACTTCACAATCGGTGTACAAACCTACTACTATTCCGTCAGAACAAAACCCACCCCAGACAAATCATCTACCAACTTGAATGGACTTAAAGCTACCTTTACAGGACACACAGGTGCAGATAGTGCTCACCTGCTCTCTTCACCCTCCAGCAGCTTGCGGTAAGTGGCAATCTCAATGTCAAGAGCCATCTTGACATTGAGCAGGTCCTGGTACTCGCGCAGGTGCCGTGCCATCTCGTCCTTCAAATGCCTGATCTCCTCTTCAAGCCTCTGGATTGTGTCCTGGTAATTGCCAGCCTCGCCAGCAAAGCGCTCCTCCATCTCCCTCATCTGCCTCATCAGAGAGTCATTCTGGAAGTCAAGAGGAGGAAAGCAGTGAGGAGAAAGAAAAGGGGAGATTTCTACCCCCTTTTTTGGTGAATATAAAAAAAGAGCCCGCCCCCGCCCCCGTCTCCCATCCATTCAAGGGACATACTGTAAGAGATTGTTGATTGGGACCATAAGCTGAGATTTTACCAGTCAGCCTATATGAGGATCTTCAGCTGGCCATAGAACTTCCTCTGCATTAAACAGATCTTCTGTCAGTCTCCCTCAGAGATCATGAATGACCTCTCCATCTGACAGCTGTGCAAAACTGCAGCTGCCTGAGCAGTTTGCGTTCTCCATGCTTCCCTTGCATTTGCGTCAATGAGCGTAGGGAAGAGGAAAAACGTTCCTCCCTAACATGGTTCAATGCAAGGTCCAGTATTCTTAATTTGACTCCATGATTAATCTGGCGTGGCAGCTCACTCACCGTGCCCTTCAGAGCATCAATCTCACAGGTGAATGATTGGATTTGATGCCGGTACTCCATCATCTCCTGCTTGGCTTGGCGAATGGCATCATTGTTTTTATTTGCTGCCTGAGTCAGGTCAGTCACCTGTAGACAGAGGGGGGGGGAGGAGGAGCAAATAGAGCAGACAGGTGGATTAACAGGAGTGAATCCCATGAGTGAAAACTAACTCCAATCATCCCTAGTCTTTTAAGCCAAGTGAAGCTGCTCTTTCTCCTGACCTTGGACTTGTACCACTCTTCTGCTTCAGAGATGTTCTTTGCAGCAATGTTCTCATACTGGGCACGGATGTCACGCAGTGCTGCGGTCAGATCTGGCTTTGACACGTCCATCTCCACCTGGACTTGTTGTTCTTGCAGCTGGGATTGCATTTCTCTAATTTCCTGAAGAGGTCACAAAGAGTATACCATCAGGCCAATGCAGTAGCCACCTCCCCTAATCCATACTGGTTAGGCACAAAAATCCTTCAATTCGAACCATCGAATTGAAAGAAGGCTTTCAGTTGTGACAAAACCTTCTCCAAAATGATCTTTCAAGAAGATATAAACTATTTCTCACTAATGTATGGTGGATTAAACCATTGGGTTACTAAATTAAGCCAGTTCCTAGCCAAGAAGGACATTCAGCCAGAGTTTACTTCTTTATTTGCTTAGACACAATAGGCAGAATCTTGACAAACTAAACCCTTACTCTCTCACCTTAATTGATACACCCTGGGAGCTTCTAGGGCAGTGGTTCTCAACCTTTTTAATGCCGCGCCCCCAACCGGTCGTAAGTCGAGGACTAAACTGGTCGTAAGTCGAGGACTAAACTGGTCATAAGTCAAGGACTAAACCGGTCATAAGTCGAGGACTACCCAACCGGTCGTAAGTCGAGGACTTTCCCTGCCCGGGAGCGCCGCGCATGTGTGGTTCTGCCCCCTGCGCTGGCCGAGGCATAGCTGGCAAGCGGCAGAGACGGAGCAGGCCGACCACCAGCTGGCCCAGCCCAAGGGAGGTAAGGCACCCGCCGGAAAAGGGGAAAAAAATGGCGGACAAAAAAAATGGCAGACAAAAAAATGGCAGACAGCCTTGCTTGGCGGCCCCCGTGAAATGGTCGATCGACCCCAAATGGGGTCCCGACCCACAGGCTGAGAACCACTGTTCTAGGGAGTAGCTAGTCTTACTCCTATCCAGCTCCAGGCTGTGCTGCCTTTTGTCTCCTCCCCACCACCCTTTGTGAAATGTGTTCTTTCCTTCCTTCCTTGGAAACTGCTGTTTCACTGTAATCCATCACATCAGCTCCCCCTCTGTATGCACCATCTCTTACAGAACCCCAAACTAACAACAATAGCTTGGTTGACATCGCAGGTTGGTAGGGTTTGCCCAACATGTTAGGAAACTTTGTGCCATCGTACCAAAACATGGTGCAACCTAACAGGAGAAGGCTGGTCTGGTGACATGCAACTTTTGATACTTGATACCATCTTCCATATTTTTTTTTCAATTAAAGCTGCTATTATAGCTAAATTCTGGGCTTGATTTTCACCATCCCCTTCAACAGCCTCACCCCTCCTTCCATTCTAGAAGCCATCATTTTGAGAAACACCAAGACACATGTACAAGACAGCTGCTTACTTCTTCATGCACTTTTTTGAGGAAAGCAATTTCTTCCTGCAATGTTTCGATACGCCTCTCCAAGTCAATACGGGCCAGAGTGGCTGCATCAACATCCTGTAATGGCAGAGAAAAGAGGAGCATGACCTCAGCAGTAATAATAGACCCAAGAGCTTGGTCCTCATTAAAAGAGCACAAATTCACTGAATAAGGAAATGAACTCAACTGCCATTTAACTGTGTGCTCCTAAAAAGGCTGAGAGCTTATGCCCACCCCCCTCTGATTTTTGACTGATATCATCTGGGAATCTGACCAATGAAAACAATACTGGAACTTCTGAAAGCCCAGGAAATGAGTGGGAAGGACCCCAACTGAACCAATTCACATGATCCTTGAACAAAAGGGCTACTAACATTTTCTAACATCACTCCAGATTCTGGCAATATTGACAATGGCAGGGCAGTTGCCCGCATCTCAATTCCAAATTCCTTGAAATTCAGGGTAAATGCTGCTCCATTGTACTGAATGTATCCCTGAAGGAGTACTTAAACTATTCCCTCTGGCATATTGATTCTACTACTATGAATTATTCAAAACATTGTATCATTTAGAATATTCTAAATATTCTAATAACATGTTAAACGTTCATGTTCTAGGTTGCACAATGTTGTAGACAAAACAGGAGCGGGCTTTGCAATTATTCAAAAGGGGCTACACAGTATAGAAGGCTGGCAACTTGATGTTCTCCAGAAATCTTGTCTTAACTATAATTCTAATAATTCCTTATATTTTGAAATCCAAATACCAATTGTCTACCACTTTGGAAAAGATCTGAGAAAGCACTAATAGCTGGGGGCGAAGGCACAATATGTCTTCTCAGAAATGAAGGGGCAAAAAAAAAAAAAAAGCTAAGCATGCAACTTTTAAGTATGCAAAGTGATATTCCCTTTGTGCTATTTCTCAAATCTTTTCCTCATTTCCCCAGACACGCTGGAGGAAACATTTGAACTTACAGCTCTGAAAGCAGCTAAGTTGTTTTCTGCGTCTTCTTTAAGATGAATCTCCTCTTGCAACCTGTGGAAAAGGGGCAGAAAAATGAGCATTGGGAAGATTGGGAAATCACTGACTGGTCTACATAAGCAGCATTGCCTTTCTCATACTTTAGAAGTCAAGGCCAGTGCTTCAACCTAAACCTTTGACATGCTACCAAGTCACTTTAGTAAGATATGCATCAGGAACGGGCAATTCTCCTACATTCCAAAGGGAAGGGGTGGGATCTGGCTGGTGGCCAGGCTGGGAATGGAGCAAGAACATGTCCTCTCATTGCCTGTTTTAGTCAAAGCCTTAAGCACAAAGGCATGAGCTCACTGATGGATAATGCTTACTCCCCCTTCCCTTTTAGGGTAGCACAGCTTTGCTCTACTGAGAAAAGCTGAAGCAGGAGCCAGAGACTTGCAAAGAAGCAGCATGCAAACTCTTGGGATGACCCTCAGCCTGGGATTCTGGAGATGACCCTATATGAAAGAGACATAAGGTGTTGGGAGACAAGTGGAAGGCTACCAAGATGCTGAAATTCAAGATCTGTCTTCCAGGTATTTTGACATGGGATTAGTGTAGCATCACCCAAGTCCACTTTTTCTCACATATATTCAGAATTTGGGATTATAAGGTCTTATCACAATCAGCCAGGATGGTCATTGTTCGTAACGGCTGAAGAAATTGAAACTGTAATCTAACATTTCTGTGGGGTTTGAGATTGGGAAAGGATTCGGACACTAAAGTTAGTGAATCATGGCCCTGGAGTTCTAGTTTCCATATTCTCAATTATTGTATCCATATTTGTGTATTTTTATATTTATAAACACAGCACCCTCAAACCTTCAATTCTAAATTGTCCAAGTTCCTGACATCTTAAACTACAATTTCAATAGTTGTTAGTTGCAGCTGTTGTCATATAGTGATAAGGCTTGCAGAGGCGGTCTTCTGTATAAGATTCTTGCATCAGCTTGACCCTATCTCATGCCTCCTGATGTTGGCATGGATGCTGGGAGATATGGTTCCCCAGATCTTAAGGATACTAAGTTAGGAAAGGCTGTTTGGTAGCCACTTCCATTTCTTTTTACGTGGTTTGGTGGGAAAGAGCACAAGAAAAGGACAAGTGATACCATTTGCTACCTTGTTATAAGTCTTGGACATTCAATTTGCTACAATCCAAATGAGAAAGAAAGTTCTTTTTTGCTTCTCCACAGCAGTAAACACTCAAGCCAAAGATCACACTTGGTGTATGCTATAAAGAACCAACAAATAAAATGATGATCCCCAAATTCAGTGCACATCTGCTCACAGATCCAGGAGAACATTTGAATGATGTATTTATGTTTTTATTCTTCTGTAGGCTACTCAGGGTCACTTTGGATAATGAGGTGAGATTAATTTATTTCATTAATAAATAAAATACATATCTGATTGGAAGACATTGACCCCTGGATTTCTTTGCCTAAATTTCCCCCTCTCTTATGTATATGCACTTCCTGTCAACATGCTCAACCTTGCTTATCTGGCTGTTGCTTTCTTCTGGCAGGGTCCACTTGTGCCCTGTCAATCACAAGGGAGTTAAATCTGGAGGAAAAGAGAAAGCTTCCAAGAGGATTGGCCACAGAGTAAGGGCCTAGGGATTATCCTTCCAGAAGCAGGATACGAAGGGCCCTCATACTGAATAGCCCAGTTTCCCCCCCCCAAAGTATTGTATTATTTTCATCTCTCTCCTGTTGTTATAGCATTAACCCGTTCCATTGCTAGTACAAGGTGTGCCAGCGCACGTCCTGTGAACCCAACTATTGAAACCTCCAGAGAAAGCAAACCATGACTTAGCATGATTTGTGAGCCCAGCTATTACGTAAATCAAGCTGAGCAACGATCATTAGGGCTGCAAAAGCTGTAATTATACTGGTACAAACTGTAGGGGGTTATGAAGAATCCGCTGACATACAATGAAGAGCAATATCAGATGACTTCCTGGGAGTCACTTTTCCTAATAAACTGAAACTGGGTTTTTTCTCCCCTTGTGAGTAGAAGAGAAATTCTAGAACAGGAGTCTTCAAACTTGGCCCTTTTATGACTTGTGGACTTCAACTCCCAGAATTCCTCAGCCAGGCACACAGGAATTCTGGGAGTTGAAGTCCACAAGTCATAAAAGGGCCAAGTTTGAAGGCCTCTGTTCTAGAACAAAGATTTATAGACTTGGAAGATGTGCTGGGTAACATGGAATCTTGACCACCTGCACCCGCTTCAGTTCTGTAATGTACATTTTTTAAAACGATAACGGCACTGTCGAAGAGGGATTCTGTTACTACACCACTAATATATTTAATGTGCAACCCCAGAAGAAAATTGGTTTCTGGCTCTCACGTGGAATTAATTAATTTAAAAGTTTTAAATCCACCCCATTTCTAATCATCAGGATATCATTTTTCTTTATTTCAGCTCTTTAAAAACTCCTAGAAATAGATCATCAACATAGACTTGTGGCACATATATCCTGAGCTAGTCAAGGGCATGCTTACTTGGGACATAAATAGACAATTTACATCATGCAGGGGAAAAAACCCAGAGCTACCTCATGGAAAGAGGCAACCATCAGTCACCTTCACCCTACCAAAAGGAGTCAAGAGTTGATCTGACAAGAACTTGCAACAATTGTTTAGAGTATCACACCTCCCACTTCCACCCCATCCCCTGTGCAACTGACAAGGAAAAAGCGGAGCTAACTGGTGTGGAATTAAACTAAAGAGATCCCCCATTAAAAACCAAAGCCCAGTGTTTGATAAGGAAGAATTATCCACTCCCTGCATAAATAAAAGTACATGTGTAATTTTTCCACGAGGTCAAATCCAAACAAAATGTTTCACAAATATAATTTAGTCTTTTCATCCAATTTTTTCTAAAAAGGCAGGGACTGGTGACCTTACTACTGATTTCTGAACCAGCATGGATCCCTGTGCCAAAATAAACCTCACAAATATTTTCTCAGCAGACTTAAATACTGTGCTAGGGTGTTTTTTTTTTTTTTAGATATTGGCCTTTCTCTTCAGGATGAAGATTTTAGCCCCCAAAAGCTTTCTTAAGTTTCTAAAGATGGAAAGGTTTATAAGGAGAGAGTGGTATGACAGGAAGTCACTGGACACATTCTGAGCCTTAAGAAGAGGGAGTCAAGCTATTCTCCAAAGCGCCTGAGGGCAGGAAAAGAAGCAATGGATGGAAACTAATCAAGGAGAGAAGCAACCTAGAACTAAGGAGAAACTTCCTGACAGTTAGAACAATTAATCAGTGGAACAACCTGCCTCCAGAAGCGGTGAATGCTCCAACACTGGAAGTTTTTAAGAAGAGACTGGACAGCCATCTGTCCAAAATGGTGTAGGGTTTCCTGCCTGAGCAGGGGGTTGGGCTCGATGACCTCCAAGGTCCCTTCCAACTTTATTATTATTATTATTTTGTTGGGCCCAGTGAGATAGATTGTCTCTTATTAGTTATGATGGCTATTTCAGATCAGAGCACAAGAAGTTTGCAACTTCAAGGTGAATGTTGCTCAGTGCCATTTACTCAGGGCCTGGCAAATATGACATTTGATAAGAGAGTTTTAGCATTGCTATTTGGAAGGTCAGGGCTGGAAGGCCACTCATCCTGGCTGTGATTTGCATTACCCTTCCCTGTTTACTCCATCTCTGGCCAGGGAAGCGGTGTACCTGCTCGTGACTAGGAAGAAACCTTAAATTTACAGATCAACATAAATAGACAGAGATGAGCTTAGAGGAAAAAAAAACATGGTAGCAAATCATGGGCCTCGGTCTCACCTCTGCTTCAGCTTCTGGAGATCATCCAGCAGATTGTCCCTCTCCACATCCACCCGTGCTCGCTGGTTGGTCAGCAGCTCCACCTGGCGCCTCAGCTCCCTCAGCTCTTCCTCATACATCTCGGCGATGCGCGTGGGCTCCTTGCCCTTGAGTCGATTGACTTCAGCCACCATGAGGGCATTCTGCTGCTCCAGGAAACGGACCTTCTCAATGTAATTGGCGAAGCGGTCGTTGAGTTCCTGCAGCTCCACTTTCTCATTTGTACGGGTTTGCAGGAATTCCTGGTTCATGGCATCAGCTAGGGAGAAGTCAAGGACCTCGCCGGCGCCTTGATAGGCTGAACGCAGTGGGGCTGAGTAGCTTGAGCGGAAGCTAGAAAGGGTGGGCATTGCAGCACTACGGGACACTTGGTATACCCGAGAGGACATGGAGCTGGAAGAAGAGCCCTTGGTGCCGAAGGAAGCCCGTGGGAAGGAAGGGGATGCGAAGGAAGGGGCAGCTGTCCCGCCGAAGGTACGGCGGTACGAGGAGACCCTCTGGTTGGAGAAGCTCATGGTGGCAGCTTGGTGGGACAGGCAGGAAGGCAGCAGCTACTCTGGGTGAGAAGGCAGAGTCGGGATGACAGCCGGAGCTCTGCCTATTTGTATCCCTGAGTCTTGACATCATCATCCAACAGCCCCCTCCTTCTCCTCTCCCAGTTTGGAACAGCTGTGGATTCCTCCGTTGAGTAAGGGAGGAGGGAGATAGATGGCAGCAGCCAGCAAATAATCACTGGACTCAAGTCATTTTTGGGGGTTCTGCTTGGCAACCGCAGCTGGTCCTTTCCCCAGGAGCAGGCCTAGAAATTGATTCAGAATTCCAGAAAGGATGATGATGGTTAAGAGATATGAAATAGAAGCAAGGAGGGGATATAGAAAGTGGAAGGGATATATGGAAAGTGGAAAGGGAGTGGAACAGAGATTGCTGTACAAGACAGAAGAGAGCAGGAGATGTATTAGGGGGCTTTTATGGTCCTACAAAGCCAAAGAAATAAACCTCTGTACAATCCACATACACATGCACAGATACAAAGACCTCCCAGGCCAGCAAGCTCTCCCACACTGGAATGAGGTCAATCTGAGAAGTATTTATAAAAGACAATGCATAAAGTTTTCCCAGAAAAGTGAAATCTCAGTGAAGCTACACATGGCACAAGTCTAAAGAATGGAGCACAGGGGCTCTGCAGCCATCTCCTAATTACAAAGTGATGACAGCTAGTGCCTATCCTGTCCTGGAGCCACTTCTATTACCTTTTAAACCACAGTTGAAAGAGCTTTTTCCAGCAAGAAGAAGAAGAAAAGCCCACCTATCCCTAGGCCTCCTTTGTAAGTGTTATTTTAAATGGAGCAATTTCAGAGAAGCTGAATCACTGACAATTACCCAGCAAGATCATTGCAGAGTGAGGTGGATCACCCTGTTTATCCATGCATCCAGAATGGAGCCTGACAACTAGCAGTCAGAAGTTCCTGACTCGCCTCCTCTTTGCATTCTCCCAGGTAGTAGCTACAAGACCTAAATAGCTCTGCCTCTCGGAGCTGTCAGAGCCTATTCAGAGCCAGGAGGAAGGAGCAATGTTAACTCTTTCCGCTCTTGGCTCATAGGAGGACTCAGGATGCCATCTCTTCACCCCTGACAGCTACTCAGCTTGTTGAGGTTCAGGCATTCATGCGTCCCCCTTCGCAGCATACGCTCCCATTCTTCTCTCTGACTCCCAACATCATGCTGCCCTTATTTCCCACTTAAACCCACTCATGGGATATGAAGCAAAAGGGCCTTTCCCCGCTGTATTTTCTGGTTCTATGGAGCCTACAGATTAACCAATAGCTGTCACCCAGTTGGTATGTAGCCTCCCTATCCTCCACAAAGGGCTCCAGTTCTTTAAGACCAGCAAAACTACAGCTATCAATTCACCTTAAGAAAGTGAATCCTGTAATCTGTCTGTGAAATGGATAAAAGAGTACATCCTTCTACCTGGCCTTGAATCTTTCCTTCAGTTCATGGAATGACTCATGGGTGCCCTCAAATTCTTGAAGAAAGTTTAAAAATAAGTCAGTTTGGGATCTCAGTCTGGCTATTAACATTCAGATGCACCCACTAGTGACTTTTGTAAATGCACAATAAGACTCTGTGAGAGAATCAAGTCATGTTCAATAAAGCACCCCCACTCCACCCCAAGAGAAACAGGCTACTTTGGGGGGAAAAATGAGTAAGTGGCTTTGGCAGCAGATTTGCTGGGAAACTTTAGTAGCCTATCTGGGAAACTAAACTAGCATGAATTTAATAATTTTGAAAAGACATTTTATATTCAGATTTAATCACCCCCAAATCCTGGAATCTATTATGAACCCTACCATATAGCCTTCTATGTGACAGATGCAATACACCCTTGTAGATGTTCAGGTATTCTAAGTGTAAATATTAGAGATTCATTAGCCAGAAGAACATATGCCCAAATAACAAACTAAATCATAACATAATGTTCAAATTCTTACGCAAAAAGAATTTCTTTTTCTCAAACTTTCTCATACTTAATTTTTTCTATTCAAAATCCAATAATATGCACAGGCATATTGAGACTTTAATGCAGAGTTTTGATTTCACAAGTTTCCATACAATGCAGTATATACATTGCCTCTCTTCAGTGGTGGCTGTAACTTCCTTTCCAGGTGATGACCTATCTTGACCTGAGTAACATCATATAGTCTTTTATTCATTTCCCAAATTCAAAACTCCATTCCATCTCATCCCATACTTGTCCCTAACTTTTACGGCATTAAAGCATAACTTGGTACTTGGAAATCCAAAATCTTGCAAATTAAAGGCAAATGTATTAGGTTCATCAGGGTGGGTGAATCAATAAGCTACTCAAGGTCTTAAGAAACAAAATAAGAACAAGATCACTTGACACCTTAATTCGGCTGAGCAATCCTGATTGTGCTTTGTAAATATAGCATATTCTAATGGTTGTGTAGTAGTTGTAATAGAAGATAGTAGATAAGAGCATGTTGAAAGAAAAATCTTCATCAGGGCCCAGTCCAAACTGGGAATAAACAAAATGGAGACTGCTTTGGAAAGAAGGTTGCAGTTTATTAAAGAGGAGAGCCAGACAGAAAGATAACTCTGGGAAAAACTGACCACATGTAGCTGGGAGTGGTGGGTTTTTATACCTTCAGGGACTTTTGAGGTTGTTTCCTGTTCCTGTTTGAGGCTTTGTATTTCCTATGTCATGTACTTTGTCCTCAGTCTGAGTGTGCCCTTTTGGTATTGGTGGGTTAATCCTATGTTTCCTGTCCTTAGAACTTGGATGGGGTTATGTAGATTTTAGGGGTCTTTATCTTCCTAATTTCTTCAGTTTCTAGCTGAAAGGATTATTGAATTTGCATTTCTAAAAGCTGGCCTCTACCTAGGGGGCTCGGGCTGATTTCTGGGGGCTGGTTTCTGTCTTTTTTTAAAGATCTTCTCCATTATTCCTTTGGGGAAATATATTCTGCCTTTTTACTATTTTCCAAAATATTTCTCTGGATTCTTCCCACAAGCATAAAGAAAAAACAATGTTGATATAGATAAAGAATTGGTAATTTGCAGCCTGTAGCTCCATCCACCTGTTTATACCATCTGACAACATCTAAAACAGGGGTAGGCAACCTTGGCTCTTTTATGACTCGTGGACTTCAACTCCCAGAATTCCTGAGCCAGCCATGCTGGCTCAGGAATTCTGGGAGTTGAAGTCCACGAGTCATAAAAGAGCCAAGGTTGCCTACCCCTGATCTACAATCATACTGTGGAGATTTATGGTCAAAATGACTGAATTTAAGCAACAGGGGTTTTGTTTTGCTTGACTTCACAAAATCAAGGGTAAAAATGAGGAAGTAGGAACATTTCCACCTTTAAACTACTCCCAAGGTCTTCAAAATGAGTTGAAATCATTATTTTTCAGGATAATTTCAGCCCGGAGGGTAGAATGTGTCAGCCCCCCAGGTAAGCCAGACAGGAAACATGACTAGATGCACTACTTCTACTTTATTGTAAGGCTACATGAGCAGAATCTTGCAAGTCTGAAAGTGAAAACTTCCTGCTGCTACTTTTACCTGTTTGATCAATTAGAGTGGATCCTTCCTGAGTTTTTTTTTCTCTGACCCTTTAGCCCCTGGCCTCCCGCCTCTCTTGTCTGATTGCTTCCTAGGCAACATTTCTTCCCCCATTTCCCCAAGGTCATCCCTGTGTTCCATTACAGCTGAGTTCCCCAACCTTTCCGGCTTTGCGGATCGACGGGGTGGGGGTGGGGATGGTTCTGCATGAGTAGCAGGCAAGTGCGTGCATGCATACAGCTCCATTTCCATGAGCGGCAGGCGCACACACCTGCCATTGTGCAAATGGAGCATGTGCCCATGGGCTCGCCCGTTGCTTGTGCAAGCGGGGATGCACGTGCACTCACCCTCTACTTCCACAGCCCAGTTCTGAACAGCTCAAGGCCCGGTAGTGGGCCGCAGCCTGGGGTTTGGGGGTCCTTGTGTTACAAAATAGAAGCTCCCTTTCTCACAACTAACTGCCCCCAAATCGCTGAAAAAAAGCTTCTCCTTCTGATAATATCACCATTTCAACAGGTATCCTGGGCCTATCCAGAAAGACAAGGGCCTCTGATGCTCTCAAACATTGCCTGGCCCACTTCATAAGCATCAAGATCAAATCTTCCACTAAGTAAAGTCATGCTAGTACAATGAAAGTTTGGATCATTGGTCTTTCCACACACATAGTATTCCCATATTTTATTTTTTATTGCTGGATCAAATAAAATCCTTCTTAAGTTTCTGAACCCCCAGTTATGGAATTGTTATTCTATACATATGAAGACTGAAATATTTGTTGGGGAGGATGTGGAGCAGAAACACTACTATGTGGAAGTATTCTCTATACTTCTCTATATTTGTAATGTACAATGAATTGTTCAGTTCCTCACTTTCTGAAGAAGATAATTATTCAAGGAAACGTGTTCAGAACTGGCAATTTGAGCAAAGTGGTTTAGGGTTGCTTACTTGGGAGGCATTCCTCACTCATCTGCCCAACGAAAACCAAGAAAAGACTACAATATAGTTGCAAAGAAACCATCTGTTAGCAAAGATTTTGTATGATTTGCTAATGTGGCCCTGAGATTAATCTTCCGTATTACCTTTTCACAAAGAAGAACTGTGGAGGTAGAGTGTTGTGCATCAGCCCAGCCTCTGTAGCATATTTTACATTCTCTGTCATATCTAAAACCGTGACTGAAAAGACAATGACACTTTGCTAATTGCCTCCTTACATCCTTGACTCCTTTAGTCAACTAGAGCACCTCCAAAGAAAGGCTAAGACTAAGCTCATCCCCCTGGGGCAGTCTGTGCTTTCTTTCTTACTGTAAAAGGGAAGGTATTTCCTAATGAGGATTGCCTCATTCCAACATTGTATGTGAGGAGGAAAGAATGGAGACGAAGGCAAGTTGCTATCATGAACACTCCCGCCCTTCCATTCACCCTTGATCTTTTCTTTTCTTTTCTTTTCTTTCTTTCTTTCTTTCTTTCTTTCTTTCTTTCTTT